ATAAATGAATACAAATATAATTGGTTACCTTAAGAAGAACAATATAAACTGGCTCCAGAACATCGATAATCTCATCCAAAACTTTTTGCTGTGCTGCGGACAATAACAATTTTTGAAGTTGCCTTACTGCCACTAACGATTTCAAATTCTTTTGATAGCTGTTTAATAATAGATACATCGAAGCCCATCTAGTCGGTGACAAACACTGCGGCAAGGGTGCCGTGCTCGGGAAGGCTTTTGCGTTTTCTCTGACTTCACTTCGGACGCTCTTATTTCGAGAGAGATATGATGACAAATTTTGTGCATTTCCCATAATTGGTTCAACCTTCTTCAATTTTGAAAACTCCTCGAATGCTAGATCGAGAAAATGACAGCCACAATGCACGTTTTTGAGAAAATGACCAGTTGAAAACGAGCGCAAATTCGAAGCTCCATCTGTGCATGTTAGTTCGCACATGCTTAAGTTTATTCCTACTCGTTGAAGTAAAGAGCATATCGATTCAGCAATATCGGCGGCTGTGCTTTTAGCGACGTGACGAATTCCACAAAAGGCGTTCTTTCGTTTGTAATCTTCAGAGACGAAAAAAATCTGGCAACTGTAGAAGTTTCGATCTTTTCTTATTTCGCCATAGCCATCCGTCACTAATGTAAATGACTTCACATTTCTTAATTTGCCTTTCATATCATCTAAGTAAATTTGAGATATCTTCTCAACGTGATGTGCAATCATTTTAGGAGTGGGCACGACAGCAGATTGATCTAAGAGTTTGTAAGTTCTGATAAAATTTTGATTGGCTGCAAAACGGAAAGGGATTCCTCCTGTGCAAAAAGCTCTGGAATGTGTTATATTATAGTTAAAAAAAACGAAAATATTCAAACTTCGTGATTTCCAATTCCCATTCCTTATATATTGGTGCTCCAATAGTTTCTTTTTCAATGACCCGTTTACTCTAAATTAAAAAATGTTTTATTTAAAAAAATAAAAAAAAAAACCTTGGAGTTCAAAATGTTCTCAAACTTTTCCAAATGCTGCGACTTTGCGTGTCGGATGAGATTGGTTGTACTTTTATTATAACTTATATTCACTTTGCAAACTGGACACTTAATATACTGAGTAGTGGGATCAGTAGGTTTGCGAAAAAAATCCCACGCAATGGATGTCATTCTAAAAAAATAATAATAAATAATGTTTCCAATTTAAAAAAAAATTTGAGAACGATCCAACGAATAAAAAAATTGCATAAACTGCCATTGAATTACGGAGTTTTATGTGAAACAGCCTCTTAAAGCGAGAAAAATTTGCAATTATATAAAGTTTTCGAAAATTATTTCAAATTCGCGATTCGAAACGCGCTACGCGTCGCGTTTTCGAGGTGCATTAGGGCGTGTTTGCAGCGGGACTCGTTTTTTTCGCAATGTAGTATTTAGCCAATCAGGGACTGCAATAAGGGGGTGGAGTCAGGACAAAACGTATGACAAGTATCATGCAATGTCTATGAAAAAATTTCATTTTCGGCTATTTCGCCTATTTTCAGATCATTTACGGTAACTTTCTAAACAGATTTTACTACATTCGGGTCTGCTGAATTCATTCGTAACGTCTATTTCCAACAAGTTTTTACCTAAAAATTTCAAACTTTTTAACTCTAAGATAAATTTTTTAAACATTTTCCGCGGTGACCTATATATATTTTTCATTCACCGTTTAGGAAAAACTCTCGAGAGACTACGGTTCAAATCTCAATAAAATTTGCTAACTAGAACTAACTTTTTTAGTCATCGAAATACCTGCAGCATGGAAAAGAATGGAGACTTTCGTAATTTTCGCATCAATGTAGCTCGTTTAAGTAAATATGTCTTGAAAGCAAATTCGGAATCTACGAAAAGTTTGCTACATGATGGCATTCTTCACATTTCATGAGATGTGTTTAAAAAAAAGACACAAAAGATCGACCAAGATCGATCGAGCGCTCACAAAAGATCGACCAAAATCGATCGAGCGTTAGCGATCGATCGAGCGCTCGATCGAGATCGAACGCGCTCGATCTCGATCGATCCCGGGATCGATCGAGCACAGGTAAGTTCGATCTCGGGATCGATCGATCTCGAGCGCTCGATCGATTTTTAGAAAGATCGATCGATCCCGATCGATTTTCGCTACCAAGATCGATCATACTCGATCGAGCGCTCACACTGTGGAGCAGTGTAATTGGTTTTAAAAATTTTATAGTCATGAACATTTTCGTTTCCAAAATTCCCTCATTTTTTTTCTTTTCGTTTAATAATTCCCACTCTTATTTTATATTATTTTTGTTCTTCCTCGTTTTTTATCCTATTAGTATTGTACGTTTTCTATTATAATTTATGTATTTTGTTGTCTATTACGGGAAAAATAAATGAATACATGTATACATAGAATGAACTTTAATAGCTTTTTTCTGAATAGAGCTGGTTCGAAACGGAATTATCGATGCAAGGCTTTCATTAAAATTGTGCAGCCGGTAGAAATTAAAAATTTGCGCTTTTTAAAACGTATTCAAAACTAATTTTAATTGCATATAAATTTAAAGATCGATCGATCCCGCTCGATCGAGCTTTTCGAGCGCTCGCGATCGATCGAGCATTTCGAGCGCTCGAGATCGATCGAGCGGGATCGATCGAGCATTTCGAGCGCTCGAGATCGATCGAGCGTTTCGAGCGCTCGAGTTCGATCGATCCCGCTCGATCGATCTCGAGCGCTCGAAATGCTCGATCGATCTCGGGTTCGATCGATCTTTAAATTCTCGAGCAAGATCGATTTTTTAACGATTTTGAGATCGAGTGCGCACACTGCTCGCAAGGACGCACAGGTTATTTCAAATTTTATGGTCTGGTTCGATAATTTTTTAATCGAATATCGTTAGAAACTCCAAGAAATGCGAAACTCAACAAGAAAAATGAAGCAGTTCACGTGAAAACAGCAAAAGAAGCGTTCACACGTGGCGAGACCTTTTCAAGGCGCATGCGCGTAAATCTACCCGCGTACAGCAGTCGCCGGACGCCGACTATAAAACTAAACTAAAAATTATACAAAAAATATTGTCGGCGTCGCGCGACTGCGAAAAATTGGCGACATGCCAAAAAAAAACAATGAAAGTGGTTTTGGCGCAAAACTAAAATGTAGATTTTTTTGCCAATGCATAAGCATTGATTAAAGGCGCATACCTCTTCTTTAATTGTTAGACGTTTAGCCAATTTTTTGCAGTCGCACGACTTCGACAATAAGTATTTAGTCTTCAATATTCATGATAGTTTCTCATTTCTATCATGTTTCGAGTTTGATGCAATTGATGGTATTCTCTTGGGCAATTATAATATTCGCGACATTCGTATTCAACTTATTGGATAGTGCCATTATGACAATTTTCCTCATTTACATTTTAATATGCTACATTGCTGTTATCGTTGTAACAACCGTTCAAAATCATTTAATATTTTTATTGGCAATTCAACGCTGTTTAATGTATTTTTATCCGAAACTCGAGCCAATGATTACGCCAACTCGGTTAGTATTAGTTTTTGTTTGAAAACCACACGAACTTCCATATTTAAAAAATCAATCATTGTAGCGATTTTTTCAAGTATTTTATTAGATGGACTTATACAATAACATTGGTTCTCAATATTGGATTTCGAAGTCAACAAATTTTGTATGAATCTCAATTTCAACTTTCATTGTTTAGTTTTCAAATTTTTCAATTATTTTTTCGACAAGTCGGACAAAACCAGTGTGTTGCAATTGCCAGAAGATGTGAACAAATACGACGAAATTTATATTCTAAGTTATATATTCACCAGTTTTTTGGTGCTATTAGCCGCCGCTCCATATTTGGCCATTTATTTGAGTGTTCGGCGAATTTCGAGAATGATAGCCAATCGAAAAATTCGCGCTGAAAACTATATTCTCGCACAGACGCTGATGATAATGCCCACCAAGATTGTATACGTTTATCACGGCTCGCCGCAACGTATGTGCGGCCTAGAAAAATTGGCCGATACTTTCAAAAAATCATTTAGTTCTATTATCATCGCAAGAAATAAGCATTTTGATAAATTGTGGACCATCGCACTTTTTCGAGGCGGAAATTCAAATTCGAGTTTAAAAAGTGGGAAATTCGGATACCGTAGTCTGGATAACCTGCGAAGCTAACTCACTATGCTCATTTTTTGCGAATGAAATAGATATGAGTTGATCATGAAATTCGAATGTTAATTCAAACATACAAAAATTTCAATTTTTTCAAATGTGATTCTTCTTGTAGCTGCAAATTGTCGTAGGGTGCTCGTTTCTTGCGAATGAAATACTTAAGTTTTCTAATCCATCACGCGTGGCCGTGGCCGAACCTAATTTTTTTCTAGGCCACACGTGCGTTGCGGCAAGCCGTATTTAGAATGAAAGATATAACACTATTAATGTTTAGATACTGCTTCTTATAATTATTGCCTACATTACGATAAACGGAAAAACTCTCTATGACATGGTAAATTGTGAATTCCAATTAGCCGATTAAAGTTTTTTTTAAAGATTTGGTGGATTGTGTTGATCTTCGACACATTATCAACCCCATTTATTATACAAACGTCATATTTATTCGGAACACAGGGAAATATTAAACGAATTCGAGCAATTCGTCTCAGTGATTTGCCAGCCATTTTTTGTGGAGGAAAACCAATAATCGAGCCGCAACGATTCGACACTTCTTCAGCAAGTATTGTGACATTAAGAAATGCGTACGCATTGACAAGTCATAATTAAACCGATTCACAATAAAAATGATTTTTCCTTCAAAGAATGTCTACAGAATATCATTAAATTTATTAGATCAAAAAACTATTCAACGTTTTTGATAGATTATGCTTTAACAAGATGATTGGTTTACACGCATATTCACGAGGCAAAAAGAACGGACTTTGAACTATTTGACGCCTACATTTTAGGAGTTGAGGACTTTGTAATTGAATTACTCGAGTGCAATCGAAGTTGGAGCCACGGACACGACAACTTTTTCGGGTGGCTTACCGAAAGCTATAAATTGAAAAAAAAACATGTGCACTCTAAAACTACCAAAATACATTTGCAGAGGAAGAATTTGATCTCATCGCCTATTGGCTTATTACAGAAAATCATTGATAATGTTGACATCGATCCATGAGTGCTAGCGAGAATAATTGCAACATAGCCAAGATCTGAAATAATTTTTAATTGATTATTTTTGGAATTGTGCTCACCATTGGCCTCGATATGAAAAGATAAACCTACAATGTAAACAAATATTGGAAATCCTAGCATAATTCCGTGCACTGCGATCTGTAGTAAACCGGAATTTAATGAGAAATAGAATGCATATTGGGGGCTTGAAAACTTGTGTAAATAATCCAAAAAGGAACATTCGATGCATATTAATTGTTTTCTTTGAGACTTTTGAGCTGTCAACCATTTCTTGGATTGCTCTCACTGCCGACGAGCCCATTATACTACTGCTGATGATGCCGAACAAAACGGTAACAAATGCTGAAGCATTGAACAAATGAATCGGTTTGAATCCGTCGGAATGAGGTGGCACTGTGAGTGCAGACGTGCACAGAATCTCGGGATTCGTTTCAACCAACTGAATCGATTCAAAATATTTCAACAAATTTTTTTTTCGACTAACGTCCAATTCCATTTTTAATGATTTTTGATGAAAAAACCCATTGATACATAGATTAATACATAGCCAAGAATTTAAAAGGAGCGCAAATAAAATGTATTTCATTATGGTGCTGATTCTGGCAATTCTTGTCAGCCATTGTTTGCTCGACGGACTTTTGGAAATAATCATGAGGCGATAATAACACATTTCGAATATTGAGTAGAAAGTTGCTGGAATTGAATTTAAGACATTCTTGAAATTAAACTGGATTTTTCTCTGTATCGAATATCACAAAAAGAACAAACCAAATAAAGTAATAAGAAAAATATATAATATAACACCGCCATTTACATATCGAAACTTCCAGAATCCGCAAAATCTGACCAATGAGTATGGAAGATATAAGACGGGTTTCATCACAATGGACAGATGGAATTCGAAAGCCAAGTTACTGAAATTTTCAGCGCGAACAGTTTTCGACTGAAATGAATATTATCACCATCACCAACCATATCGTGTGGAATATAACGTATTTTTTATAATTTTGAAACGTCGACGAATTTTGTACAATAGAGCCATAAAATGCGGAAACATAAATCGGAATTGCTAGCAAATGGGCCAATGTCATCCCGATATCGTATCCAATCGGCGGCGGTTTCGAGCACAACAACGATTCTTCGTATAGCAGTTCAAGCCATTCCTCTTTGGTTCGATCGAACAATGACTTTTCAAGGAAAAACGAGCTCATTCTCTGAAATCAAATATCCGTACGTGTTTGATTAGAATCTTACAGTTATATTGTCACAAATTGGAGAAAAATTTGAATTGAAAACATAAGAGACTGATAGTCATTTATTAGCAGAGAAAATTTTAGAAATTAAGGGGGATTGAGCTCGCATAAATGAGTTTAAATAGTTGGAGTAAAAAGAAATAAATGGAAAAAAATTAAGGAGCAAATCTGAAACTTTGAACTCAAAATTATTAGAATTTTTGAAATCTCTGCGGAAAACGGCATAGGACACATGATAGGGTAACAAATTGTGTGCAAAATTCGAAAAAATCCAAACCCCTTGGTGAATTTTTTAAAATGATGCTCTTTAAAAAAATTTCGAAAAAAGTAAAACTCGCTCATAAGAGTTTTTTATACACGAGACCTAAGGCGGCAATTCGAATTATAAAGTCGCAAAGTCAATTCTCCCAGCAGTGATTATAAATAAGTATATTTATAATAGAATCAATTAATGAAATAATATACTCAGGGTCGCTGTTTTGAAATCGACAAGTTCTAGTAAAAACAAATAGAATAATTACATGTTTTAATATAATATGATTATTGACGTAAAATAAAATTTGGAGAGGAAAGAAAGAAAACTTCAAATTTTCGCGAAATATTATAGTTGAAGTTTCGAGTAAAATTTATCGTTTTTAGTCAATGATATTTGTTCATTGATTCTGAATATTTGATTGAGTAATAAAATTTATTAAAAGGGTGGAGGTTGGTGTGCTCACTGGAAAGCATATAAATACATATTATAGAAATTTTATGAGAAATGGAAAAATCAAAAGAAGAATAAATGTATTTTTTTGTGGAGAAAAAGAAGTACGATTTCTATTTAGGCCAACAATTCAACACTTTCATTTTTAAAGGCAGTTGATCTCTGGAATCGCAAAGTTCAACATTTCTATAACTAGACGATACTCCCGAAATTATTCAATTCATCATTAATTCATTCATCAATCGCGTCTCTTTGACGACAGAAAAAATGCCATCTAGGCGATTGAAAATTGAAATACGTGACAAATATCGCCGAGGGCAGTCCAAGCAATTCTGGCCAATTTCCCTTTTTTTTCATTAAATCACTCTTCTCATGTTTATCGAGTTGATTCAATACATTTTTCTGCTCCTTATATCCCATTCGATTAATTCTGTAAGTTACGTCTCATTGTTTCTCAAATTCAACGAATTTTTAGTGTTCTGCTAGCACTCAAATGGTGGTAGTATGGGGAAAACTGTTAGATGGACATAATTGCACATCGACGACGTCGATAACCGATTGGGATGAGTGCTATACGACTTGCGCTTCATCTACAACATGCACTGTAAAATGAGAAGCATAGATATTAGTGAAAAAATCACAAATTTTAAGGCTGCTTATTTGTCAGCCGGTTCTTGTGATTTATGCCAGACTAGCGAATCCTTTACAGCACAGGAAGTTGATCCAAATTCCGGTGACAAAGTGGCCTTTAAGGATTGGTTTTTAAATTGCCAAAATTATTGATTTTTTACATTTCAGATTCCGACACCATTTAGTGAATGCCCGGCGATTCCATTCAATGGAACTTCTAGAGAAGTACGATTTCATTCTCTTTATAATACTTCCAGATTCTATAATTAAGGGAAGTATGTTGCTAACTTCAACATTGAATGTTAGCTATATTCTAATAGAGGATTCGGGATATTTCCGTTACATATACTCTGGTGCGTTTTTCTATAAATTTACTGTTTATGTATTCTTGGTTTTCAGTAATAAAAATTTGTCCCGAAGGCTGGCAAAGGTTCGAAAGAGCTTCTGGTACCAGATGCCTTCGAGTTTTCAAGCAAGACACTGCCGTTAACAATGCCCAAGCCGAGCAGCTTTGTCAACAACAAGACGCAATATTATCTGGGATTGAAAATCAGAACGAAGTCGATTTCATTCAACGTATTTTCTATTTCGTCAGGGTTGGTAAATTTTGGGCCCGGCCGGCTTTTTTCGCTGTCAAATTTTCGGCCCACGATTCGGCCCCCGACTCCGTTGTTTACGGCCGCACGGCCGAAGCGGGAATTCAAAAAAAAGCCGAAAGTCGGCCGAATGCCGGGCCGGCCGGCCCGGCTTTCGGCCCCGGCTTCAATTTACCAACCCTGTATTTCGTCATTTCCATTGAATTATTGTGTCGAAATTCAGAATCATCGGAAAGTATGCCGCCAACTTCACAAAGTGGAATAGTTGGAGTATGGTTAGGTGCCAGACGGTTGTCATCTTGCCGTGGTAAAGACTGGAGATCATACCCCGGGTGTTCGGAAAAATCATTTGAATGGACGGATCCCTCAATTACTGGCACGGCGGGATTCGTATTCGCAGCTAAACAACCGGATGGTGTCATTGAGTAATGTTCATTTCAAACAAGCCTTTCAAATACTGATGGTTTAGCGCCAACAATAATCAGCAAGACTGCTTATTCTTGTATTCAAATTCGGGACAAATCGAGGATCATTAGTAAGTCGGAATTGTTTTTTTTTAATTAAAAATGCGTTGAGAAATGTTTTAGTTGTACGGCGACATGTGAAATTGACGGAAAGTGTCGGTATAAAATGCTCTCATATGTGTGTAGCAGACCGCCAGGATAAAATGATTCCGAAATATTATTTGTTTATGTTTTGTATTGTCTTATTGGTAGATATACATAAAATAACTTTAAAACAGGCTAGATTGTGTTTTATACTTGGGGTGAATCTCATATTATGATATTTATCTGAATGGTTTATAAAACGCACAATAATCGGTAAGCCGACAAATATGGCAAAAAGGACGATCACGCTTACTGCGTGCAACAATAAAAAGAAAAATAATAGAATCATTATGTTCAAACAATTAACACCAGCTGTCTAAAATAAGATCAAAACAGACAAACTAAATACTCAACTAAATAGCGCGTCAACTCCGGTATGTGTGCATACACCGAGTGCTTACTGTACGCCCGTCTGATAAAGCGAAATTCCTCGTGAGAGATTTCATAACAGTTTTCCAGAAAAAAAAAACGGATATCCCTAAATAGGTATTGCTTTTAGAAATACGTTTTCGCTTTCCATATTTGCATGTTATTCAACAAGGAAACTGGGCTAAGAATACATGTTGCGGAACACTCGAAAACTTTCAAAAATTCTCGTTCCAATTAGGCGACTTGGTAACAATAGCCGATTTGCACAGCTGGTCGGCGCGCACGACGCATCGTCACTCTGATTTTCAATTTTTTTTGTGTTCGGATCAGCATTGTCAACAAAAATGTTCTCATTTTTTATTCTTCACCCACTCTTTTATTGCATTTCATTTTCACATGCAAGTTTTTGTTGGATTTGCGTTGAATCCAATAAAACATTTCACATCCATTTACACTCATATGATTCCTCTATCGATCTACTGTATTTGATTTGTGATTCTTCATGCATTCAGAGTTCCCACAATTCCATTCCGCATAAATTATCATATTCGATTCTTCACTGTCCTTTTTATTTCTTAGTTTGCTTTGACACTCTCCTTTTAGCAACTATTCTTTTTCTTATCCAATTTTTGAAATTTTCATAGTTTTTGGAATTCGCTTTCTCACTTCAAAATCACAGGAATTGTTGGAAATCATTGAGAAATGAGCGAGCCATCGCCGCCGCTTCCGCCAACCACGACAGCGGCCAGTGGTGAACGTCGGCAATCAGTTCGATCAGCCGGCAAGAATAAGACGCCCCTCCCAAGATACACATCGATTGATTTGGAGAATGAGATTCCTGAAATGTTCAAGTAATCGTTTAGATTTAAGCGAACTTCCATATTTAAATTTCCATATTTTAAGCACGTCGTTGAATCCGAATCTTCATGATCCCGATATGACCATGTTTTTCAATCGAAATGCTCCACCGTTTCATACGAACTACTCAAAACGACACAGTCCGCCGCCGAGTTATTCGTCGAGACAAAGTATATTGTTTTGGGGTGATCGAAAACGGATTTTCGAAACCAAAAAATGAACGATTTAGCAACATGCAATAAAAAAAATGAATTGCATGTATTTTTCAATTATTCGTAGTCACGTTTTTTTCGAAAACATATGTAGATTAAAAATCACAGAATGAATCTTTTTTTTTTTGATATGCGAATTGAATTTCAGAAACTGGAAGCACATCTTCAACCTGGTCGACATCGACATCTTCAAAGCCTGAAGTAATAAATCGCAAACGAATGGTTTTCATTTTCCTATTCTTCTGCATTTTCCTTATAATCCCATTGTTATTCCTCATGTTCTTCTTTGTGATTCCACAAGCAATTGCTCTTAATAAATCAATGTTCTAGAAAAAAGATCAATAGTTCAAAACACATAATATTATCATTCTGTCTATAAATTGACACTTGGCTGATAAGAATTTTGAATTTAAAAACGCGATTTCCGTCATTAGTTGTAGTTTTCACTAAATGATGAGGATCGAATTCCTTCTTTCATTACTAGGTAATTCTAGATTTCTAGACACCCAATAAGATATTCTAGTGGCTTCTTGTGCGGCAATCGATGATCCCGAATGCCCATGTATCTTCAACAACCTCTGGCTCGACATGGTGTTTCTAATCGACGACTCCACTTTAATGCAACAAACGGGACTCTTTGAGGTTTTTTTTCTTATTAATAATCTTAAATTGTTTTTAAGCAAAGCTCAATTTGTTTTTAGATAGGATCTAGTATAAATTCTCTTTTTGGATACAGCAATATTCGAATTGGAACAGGCTATGCGGATCCAAGAAGCACCAGAGTTGGAGTGATTACCTACAACGAGGACACAACTATTGTAAATCGAATTGATCGGCCAACAAATTTCAGTTTTCAATATTCCAGGTTGCCGATTTGGATGCTTTTCATAGCAAAGACGAATTGGTCGATACGGTAATGCATTTGAAATTGAGCGATTCTGACAAATCTGACCTGACAAAGTTTGTTGTCCTCTTTTCGAATATTATAACATCAAAATTTAGAGCACTTAAAGAGGCTTCCAGTTTGTTGTTGACCACAAAACGCGAAAATTTCCAGCCAGTCATTGTCGTATTTGCTTCAGCATACCGGTAATTATTACCAATTTTTCTTCGAAACGTCTTGCATATTTTTATTCAGTCAATATAATGGTGAAGATTTGAAGGCAACAGCCGATAAAATCAAACAACAAGGAATCAAATTGATAGTTGTTTCGTATGTCGAGGTATGATGACGAACGTCTTCGAAAATTGCGGCTGCTTTTTTTTCAGAGAAATGCCGATCTTTCGATCGAAAAGCTCGCCGATCTTGCGAGTCCCGGCGGCTTCGCTTTCGATAACTTCAATCCCAACATCGATATTCCGGATGTCATTCGAATTTCATTGTGCAGAAGTATACCATAACTTATTTAAACATTTTTTTAAATTTTTTGTTTAGTGAACTGCTTTTGTACGGAAAGCTGGACACAATACTCGGAAACATTTGGCGATTCAGCGTCTCATCAATTCGCAACATGCGTGAAAGTATTGGATGTGCCACTTGCATGGGCTCCAGCGTCGATCGAATGCCAAAACGTTGCCTACCGCGGATATCTGACGAATGAATACAATCAGAAGAAGCATGACTTTAATTACAGTATGCTTGGAACATGACAAAACTCTGACAACATGGGGGGTTGCAGATTTGTTCAAAAATTATACCGCCAAAGGACCATATAGTTATCACATTGGCTTGTCGTTTTCAAATGGCGAATATGTTTGGGCACAACCGCAAGGATTTTCAAAAATAAAAGTATTAAGAAAACACAATTTTCAACAAAATTATTCTTATTGATTCCAGCTCGATAATCAACTTTATCCATTATCAAATAATCCGGGAGATCAGGGCTCAGTTTACAATAAACAAGACGATGGAACGGATTCGGTGAGAATTTTATCAAATTCTTCATCAAATTTTTATTATTATAGTGAAATAAGCCAATATTTCCAGGTTTCGTGGTCTAATGAAAAGGCATACGGAAATATGGAAAATTCGATATGCGAGGTTGCTGCATGCACGACCGAAAATTATTGCGTGTAACATCTTATTCCTTATTATTATTATTATTATTAATATAATTAAATAATTGAATTTGAAAATTCGATTTTAACTGACTTGTAAAGCTTCGACTTGCGATTGCGAAGCAGCAGTCAGCAAACTTTTTGTTGCAAACACTAAAATAATAAAACAATATGGGTAGCTTGATGAATTCAAAAACTTACATAATCGCAAGAATTTGCAAAACATTAATCGAAGAGGTTTCGTGAATATCATCAAAATTATTGTCGAAAAACATCCATGCGTGCTTAAAACTATTATTGCAAAATATCCAACGGCTGAAATGAATAGAATCTATCATTATCTGCGAACTGTTTGAATTCACTGTTAGCTTCTGAATAGAATGTCAATACAATCACATAAATGAATACTGGAAATCCTAGCATAATTCCATGAACGATCACCTATAATGTCGGTTGAATTAAAATTGACAAAATGGGAATACTTGAGCAAATAAACTGTATAGAAACATTCGATGCATCTCCAATGTTTTTGGGGATATTTTAGTTTTGAAGATCATTTCTTGAATTGCCAACAACGACGATAAACCGGCTAAAAAACATACAGCTGCTCCAAATAAGATAGCGAGCAATGCAAAAAAATTAAAGACATGAATTGGTTTGAAGCCGTTAACCGAAAGTGAGGGAAGTGTCATTGCAGATGTACTCCTATGCTCCAACACGATTTTAGTCTCGTTAACATGACCGAGAGTTTTAGCATGAAACGTTAACCGAAAGTGAGGGAAGTGTCATTGCAGATGTACTCCTATGCTCCAACACGATTTTAGTCTCGTTAACATGACCGAGAGTTTTAGCATGAAACGTTAACCGAAAGTGAGGGAAGTGTCATTGTGGGTTTCCACTAGCTGAAATATAAATTCATCATTCAATTTTATGAACTTCTCATTCAATCATTCATAGTCCATCGATTATCAAATTATGATTGGCTTACTTTCAAATTCTTTTTGATATCCTTTTGTAGGAAGAATCCGTTGACGCATAGAGAGTAAAAAAATGAACAAATGAATATAAAAATAATAATTAAATATCTTGAAATGACACAACAATTGTAGACTCTCGATATCCATTGATTACACATCTTGGTACTAACAAGCTGTTGAAAGCGAAAAAAAAACATTTCGAATATCGAGAAGCCGGTGGCACTAACGATTCCGACGAATATAAAAAGAATAAAGCCTCCATTAACGAATCGAAATTTCCAAGCCCCACAGAAACGGACAACCGGATAAGGAAGGTATATAACCGGTTTCATTATAATAGACATATGAGATTCAAATGCAAGGTTACTGTAAAAAATGGAAAGAAATTATTGAAGTACAGGAAAACAAATAACAACAAACCAAATAGCATGAAACATCAAATATTTTCGGTACTGTTTGAAATGCGGACTTTTTTGAGCTAACAAGCACCACATTGCGGTGAAATAGACAGGAAGTGAGATGAAATGAGCAAATGTGATTCCGACATCGTAGACGAATGGCGGAGGAATCGCACACATCGGCCGATCATCATATAACAATTCTAGCCAATCATCAACACTTCTGTTAATTAGAAATACTTCAGGGAGGAACGACATAATGAAGTGCAATAATGGTACGTGATTGTATCAAATTTTGACGAAATGGTAGACGCGGACAGCCACACAATCTAGCTAGCGCCTATTGCCCACATTCCTTTCTATCTCTGCCTCCTTCTTACTATATTTTCAGACCTCACTCATGGATAATTTTGGAACTGAGCAGATCTCATGGACCGGGAACGCCGTCAACAACAAACCGGAGAATAACATCGCGCCGAACAAGAAGAAGACACCATCGCAAAGGACGACCGACTACATAATGCACTCGTAATTTTTTATAATTTCTAGTTTATTTTCCCTGCTAATTTTAATTGCGAAAATAAGTTCGTTTTATTGTAACATTTATCTCAGTAGTAAGCACTCCCCACTAGTAGTTAACACTATTTCGTACTTACAGTACTGGCCATAATGATGTTCGCCTAGTGTTTTTTGAGCATAACTTGTCTCAAACGCAGCCGATCGGGCTGAAATTTTTACCATATCTTTAAAACGCGTTGAAAATGCGTTTGAATGATATCGCATACTGCAGAAAAGTTTTTTTTTTCGAAAAATCACAAATTTCATAAAAATGCAGAAAATGGAAAAAATGACACAATGTGATTTGAAAGTCTCAGAAACCCGAAAACGTTACAAATGTGTAGAAAACCGGTTTTAAATTTATCAATACTTTGTTGCGAATCCATTGGCATCAATAACCGCTTGGCATCTGCGAGGCATCGAGTCCAAGAGGGTGCGGATCACTGCATCGGAATGGCACTCCATGCGGCTTCGAGTTGAGCGAACTTCTCGTCGGCGATTGATGCTCGGAGCCGTCTAACCATGCGTACCAGTTCTTCCCAGAGATGTTCGATCGAATTATGGTCAGCAATCTGTGATGGCCATGCAAGAACATCAACTCGGCGACGTTGGAACCAATTCTTTACATGTCCAGACATGCGCTCAGGGTCGTTGTCTTGCTGGAAAACGAATGCACGTCCGACGTTTGCCAATACCCAAGGTCTCATTGTGGTTTCCAGGATATCCTTGTACTGGTACCGATCCATGATTCCATTTACACGTCGGAGCGGTCCCATGGCGGTGTCGGAGAAGCAGCTCCTGACCCTGCAAGATGCTTCACCGTTCGGAGGTGGTACTTTGGCATGAATCTGGCTCCGATAGGTCGTCGAATCCACTTGATTTCATCACTTCCGAACAAGTCGAACCTCGATTCATCGCTATAAATGTGTTTGACCCATTCACATCGTCCCCAGTTCAGATGATCCTTGCACCATGCCACTCTCGTCTTTTGGTTCTTCTCACTGATCAATGGTTTCTTCACCGGGAGTCTTCCATGAAGTCCATTCTCCAACAAACAACGTCTAATTGTTCTTCTGGATGGAATGGAAGAATTTGGCGTTGCCACAAGCATCTGGATATCTGCTGAAGTCCGTCTAGGATCTTCTCTTGAAGCCCGACAGATGTTCCGATCTTGGAGCCTAGTAGTTTTGCAAGGTCTACCATGTGATTTCTTAACAAAAATGCAGCCCAATAGATCAGAAATAGTCCAGAATGATTAAAAAATCGTAAATTTTGTCTTAATCGTTGCAAAACTTTTTGGATTCCTCTTCGGGAGCACAGGAACTGCTGAGCCAGAAGGCTTCTGGACGACCCAGTCTTATGACCATTAACGATGGCTTTTTGAATGTCCGCCGTGAAATTTTTCTTTCCAGAAGGTTGAAAAATTACTAAAAACATGTTTCAGGTCCAAATTTCAAATAAAAAAATTTTATGGACAAAGTTTGAAAAAAATGAAAAATTGGTAAAATCGAAAAAAACAAAAAAAAAATTTAAAAAAAAATTAATTTTTCAACATGAGGCAGTTTTAATGTTTCCAAGGTTGCGCAACTGTGTTTAGCGTTTACAGTAAAAATTTCAGCCAAATCGGCCGCGTTTGTGCCAAGTTATGCTCAAAAAACACTAGGCGAACATCATTATGGCCAGTACTGTATGTATATTGTTAAGATATTACCCCTGACGCCCAAAATTTATTGTAAACTATTAACTCTAGATAATCACGGCACCAGGAGTTGCCATATTTCATGTTAGAGGGGCCATCAAGCTAGCGCCTATTGCCCACATTCCTTTCAATCTCTGACTCCTTCTTACTAGGAGAAAGAGGCCCGGCCCCTTTTACTGGGGGAGTTGTTTATATATATATATATATAATGGTGTAAGACGACAGGGAACGAGAGATATTTTAATAATAAAGTTAACGTGTGGCTTTAGAATGTGTGGGCGATGATTATTAGGTCTAAAAATAAAGTTCCGCGTTTTTTTCCGCATATTAAACTATAAAAAACTGGCAAACTCTTAAACAAAACTTTTATTCAAAACAATTTCATTAATAACAACATTTTCCCAGAGTATTGGTAACTAATGGATTTCATCATAATAGAATTTTTCTGGTTTGGACGCAGTCCATTAATCTAGCCATTTTTTGACGTCTTGATGATCTCGAAAGCGCTGCTCCGCCAGACCATGAGCCATTGTCCGAGGAAGATGATAATCCGACGGGGCAATGTCCGGAGAGTACAGCGGGTGCGGTTTTCCATTAGAACTGTTTCAGCGTATCCTTCACCGCTTGAGCAACATGCGGCCTTGCGTTGTCATGAAGCACCTTTTCATGTCGAGCCAGTTCAGAGTACAGAATTCCTTGTTGGTCCCACCATATGCACAGGAGACCTTCTTCCCGTGGATGTTGGGTTTTCGAAGTTGTTGGTTCACCGGGACTAACCCACGATTTTCTTCGTTTCTGGTTGTCGTAGTACACTCGTAGTGTAAAAAAGACTTTCTTTGAAATCTGTCCAACAAGATTTGTGAAGTAGTTTTTCTCATCTCTTTGTTGCGTTCTGAGAGCTCATATGGCATCCATTTTCCTTCCTTTTGAATCTTCCCCATTGCTTTCAATCGATGAGAAATTGCTTTTTGCGTGACGCCAAGAGATGCCGCGAGTTGCTTCTGTGTTAGAGCCCAACAAAGCCTGAAGTTCTTCGTCTTCAAATTTTTTTGGCTGTCCTGATCGGTCTTTGTCGTTGACGTCAAAATCTCCCGATTTGAAACACTGAAACCATTCTTAGCAGGTTCTTATGGATGGTGCAGCCTCGCCGAAAGCTTGTGCAAGCATTTGGTGCTCGTCAGTGGCTTTCTTCTTGAGTTGGAAAAGGAAAAGACGAGCTCCCCGCAAATGACGTTTTCCTGGCTCAAAGGTGGACATATTCTGAATCCAAAATAATGATTTTCTATAAAGTACGTGAAAAAAGTTATATATAATTAAAAAGCTGATAATACAGAGAAAATTATAACATACATAAAATTCGTTACATAAAAAAAGTTTCATTTTGACAAAACATCAACAAGAAAAAAGAAAGCGGAAATTAAAACTTTAAGGTGTGGATGATGATTCATATTTAAATAGTGGCTGTGACTGTGACTGGGAACTGTAATGTTAATGGTAAATAACGGCATTGTTGATGGCTTTTGAAATTTGTGGCCGACGTTGGTTGGTTAGAATCTTTGGATGGATGACCGTGTTTGGTGGTCATTTGTGACACTCCCCCTCACTCGACAGTTATGACGTTGGGAAGGCGACAGATGGCCGTGAATATTCTAATGACGATTATCAGAATAATTAATGTGTTTATGTAGTTGACGTATATACGTGGTTCATATATGATTGAAGCCTGGGAATTTGATTTCGTTGTAAGTTTTCTATTTTCCTTCGATAATTTTCCATGATGCGTCCCATAAATTTCCGTAAAATTTGAGTAATGCGATTACATCAAATTGAGTTGTTTGGTTTTCTTCGCAAGTGGCTTCGCAGTTTCGTATGAATTGTGGACTTATTTCTGTATTGCAGTTGATATCTGCCATGGTTTCTTCCTTTTCGAATTTGCAGATAATATCGGGTTTTACTCCTTGTTCACACTGGTAACATCCGACTGTTGTTTCAACTTGAACGTTGTAGATTTCGTTTAATCGTAAAATGATTGGGTTGAAATCTTGATTTATTATAATCCTGATTGTTTTTGATGTCGTTGTATCCGTTGATCCGATGATTGTGTTTCCTACTTGTCGAGATCGGTAAAACATTTCCTAGCGTTTTAATTAGTTCGTCCGCGAAATTGAAGTTGATACAATTTCACTTCATTTTTCACTTGCAGTTCTCGGTGAAAGTGCAGTTTATCATAATTTTGGCTTTATGACGTGACGAACATCTGATTGGTAGATTCACTTCTTGATCCTCCATGATAGTATGGTTCCTTGATTGAATGAACCAGTTTTTTTTAGTATTGGGGAAAGTGGAATATGAATGGATGATAATCGTAGTTCGAATCCTTCGAGTTGAATTGGTTCGTTTAACTTTGCGAGAATCTTGAATTGCTTGGGCGCGGGCTTAGCACCGCGCCATTTGGAATTGGGCCAGATTCACTTTTTTGCGGGTTTTGATACTACAGCCCCGAGACCGGTATGAATCGATAGAGCATCCAAATACCTACATCTTTCTCAGGAACGATTTTTTGATCTGAGCTTTTCCTGAAGAGTTATGCCAAATTGAAAAATTGAGCTTTTTCGCATTCTCGCGATTGTAACGCGTCGTAATGTTAATGGATCCGGATGAAACCGGTACCACTCGATGCAGAATTTCATGCTCTATCGAATGGTATATACTAGAAATTTCTCAAGTGATAATGATATGATAAAAAATTCCAAAAAAGGTCAAATTTTTGCAGTGCAGAAAAACTACCCCCCCCCCCCCCCACCCTAACAACTTTTTTTTTTCTTTTTTATAAGGGAGGGTTTTTTTTTTGGGAAAAATTTTTTTTTTTATTTTTTTAAAAATGAAGCTTCAAGTTGGCATTTTCGAATTTTGACTTCCCAAGTTTGAGGTCACGTAGATCAAAAATGAAAAATTTTCAAACCCAACTTATAGGGTCTAAAAGATGCGCTAGTTGAAAATCTACAACCGTTTTTTGTCTTGGACGGATATTCGAAAGTATGTGCGACGGACAAGCAAAAAACGAAAAAATTTGTTCAGAGAGCGATGTTTTTCGAATTTTTCACCCAAAAAGTGGGGTCCCACGTTCTTGGGTATACAAGATGAAATGTGTCTAAACTCGAGCCGCATCTAATGGTACCATTCCGGTTCGAAAATTTTTATCGGGGGCGGAGTTATGGATAAAAAACGAAAAAAAAGTTTGACAACCCGGGAACCGTCCGCAGATGGCCGAATCC